CTCCTCCTCCCCCCCCCACTTTTTTTCTGGAACTAGGACTTAAATTCAGAGTCTCAAGCTCTCACCTTTTTCTGCTCATGGCTTATACTCTACCACTTGAGCTATACCTCCACTGCCCTCACAGGATTTTTCTGGTTACTTGGAGGTACGAGTCTCTTGAACATCCAAAATTGGATGTTCAAATTTCAGTCTCCTGATTGGCTAGAATTATAGACATGAGCCACTGGTGCCCAGCCAGAAATTGGCATTTTAACAAGCCCGCTAGGTGATTCAGTGCATGTTCACACTTGAAAGTTACAGTTAGAGAAGTAAGAATTGAAAGCCTGTGGTGTGTAGTATGCATCTTCAGTCCCAGCTACTGAGAAGATTGAGATAGGAGATTCACTTGAACTGAGGAGTTGAAGACCAATCTGGGAATGATGAGACCTCACGCTCCCTCCCCCCAAAAAATAGAAGCCAAAATTATCCAATAAAAATAATTTCAAATAGAATTTTTAAGTTACTGTTGGAAAATTCTCCACAAAAGTGAGTATCAGTTGATGTCTAATCATCAGAAACTTCTCATTGCTCATTGTGTGTGTTATAGAACATCATTGTAGATTCTGGAAAAGATAATACCCCTGGTTTTGCCTATTGGAAATATGACAAGTAATGATACGTTAGTGGAATGTATTATGTTAGCAGGTACACAAATGATGCATTTGTATAATTGTAAAAAAAACATTGCTGAGCCAAGAAACACAGACTTGCAAGGACCCAGTCCTGCGTACAACTGAAGCAAAAATTCACCTTCTGATGGGGCTCCTTAACACTATTCTTATTTTCCAGATATACAGCCTAAGAACAAACACTGGACGAAGGAAGCCATAGCGAGGTTTCACATGTGTGTGAGGGGCACAAAGCTCCAAGCCAGAGTGGTGGAAATGACTGAGAAAGGGGTGGGTGTTGAGCTCACAGATCTTTCCACTTCCTACCCCAAAATAATTAGTGATATTCTGACTAGTGAGCACCTGGTTTTAAAATGTGGCTCACCACACACCTACTTGCGGAATAGGAGACTGGCTAATAAATACAATCACCAAACTGACACCACGGAGCTTCAGGATAACACCCGTAAGTGATCTGATATTTAGATTTGTCTTTGGTTTTCACGGGCTATGAACATTTTGTTTTCTATCCTAAATGATGTCATATTCTTGGAGAGATTGATTTTTGTGGGTATAGATTGATACGATCATTAAAGTTAATTTTTTTATTCTTTTTACTGGGTAAGCATACTTATTTTTAATGTATTTATCAAGTAAAAAGTGTTATTTATCAAAAAAAGTGCCATACAGATAGATGTCCCTTCTTAAAAAGCAAGTAGATTAGAATTAGATAAAATTGACTAGAAATGAAAAGACAACCGAATATGCCACAGCAGTGTAATAGTTCAAGGAATCTCATGATAGGTTCACCTCTTGTAACACCCACATAATCTCTCAAAAGGGGCACCTCGGAAAATTGACCATTGAATTCCGGAATATTGATAATTAGGAACTAATGAACAAATTAAATAAATTCCTTGAAGAGAAACTTTAACTGGGTGCTGGTGACTCATACCTGTAATCCTACCTACTCAGGAGGCTGAGATCTGAGGTTTATGTCAGAGCCAGCCTGGACAGGAAAGTCCAAGAGATTATCTCCAATTAACGACTGGAAAACTGGAAGCAGTGCTGTGGATCAGAGTGGTAGAGTACTAGTCTTGAGTGCAAATGCTCAGGGACAGGGCTCAGGCCCTGAGTCCCCAGCCCCAAGCCTGGGGGGAAAAACAAGAAAAACTTCTTTATATTTAACGAGTCTTGTCTTTCACGTCCGCAGCAGTCTCTTCAGCAGATCAGTGGAAGACGATAGAACTGCCAGTTCACAAGACTGTGCGGGCAAACATATTAGAGATTGTAAACCCGGATTTGTTCTACGCTGTGTCATCTGAGATGCTAGGTAAGGAATCGGTACATGCTGAAACTCCTACTTTCATACCTCAAATTGTTTTTATTCATCTGTTTATTTGTACTTTCATATCTCATATTCGTTTTGTTCATCTGTTTATTTGTATTATCTTTGAGTTTCTTCAGCTGCTTTTTTGTAGCCTCTTTGAATCTATCTGGTTTTTTATACGTGTTTTTTTTTATTGATCATTCTTATAACCATGTCCTTGAGTTCTTTTGGGCTCGAAACTACCCTTAGAGTCTATTATGGTGGGATTTGTGGATTTTTAGAAGTTATGCTAATTGTAATTTTTTCACATTCCTTGTGTTCCTGCATTGAGATTTTACATAGTCAAGGCCAAGTTATTAATTGGAAGGTTTAATAACCTATAGTCTTGTAGTCAGTGTCCACGGTGCTCAGGCAGGACAGTGTAGTGGGAGGGTTACAGAGTAGTTTCTTTCCGGGAACAGGGGACAGACCAGTAGCCACACTTTTGCTACAGTGCTCAGGGCACCAAGCCTGGTTCCCAGCACCCCTCAGACACAAGAGAACTACGTGGAATGGCCAGTATTTCCCCACACGTGGGCTGTTGTTTTCCTGTGGGTTGAAGATGGGCTGGTCAAGGCTAGTGTCCCTTCTGTGCTGCTTCTACTCGAAACTTCTCTTCGTGTTTGTTTACTGGAGGCTACTGCTGGTCGCCCAGAGCTTTTTAGTCTATGGGCAGAGCAAGCTCTCGCTTTCTGACTTGCTGTGCGGGTCACACCCACCCACACACCCATTTTTGGCCCTTCTGCAAAAGGCAACTAAGAGTTTAAATATATTATGTTTTAATATACAAAATGTTGTTGTTCACTAGACTTGACATCTTTTAGGTTCTATTGTTGATAGTAGTGTTGGAATTTTTACCAAAAAAAAGATTGTTTCTACTTTAGAAAATCAAGAAAAACTGAGTCTGTTAGCATCTGAATTGTTAGAGTACTGCAATTCTCAGAAGAGTCGGCCATCTTATAGACCAAGAATTGGAGATGCATGCTGTGCCAAATACACAAGTAAGGTTCTTTTAAGTAAAATATTAAAGGGAATGCATTTAGTCTACCCTCTTACGTAAGATTCTGTAAACTTTGGTGTTTTATGTGCATATTTCATCTGGTTATAAAAACAAAATGCTAAAGTTACAACTTCTCTTCCGATATTGAGATCCCTCTGCTTTTCTGTTCTATATAGACTTTAGGCAAGGTCTACAGATCCATGTATGTATGTGTATAACATGTACAAATCTGTCACATCTAAGTAATGCTGGTCTGTTCACAGTGGATCAGTATAATGAAATGATTCACAATCTCTCCATGATTACTCAGTTATTTATTCATTATTACTTTATTTTTTACTTGAGTAGTTGTAAAAAGGGGTTTCAATTCAACATGTCAACTTATGTCCCTCTGATTTGTAGAATGCTGTATGTGAATGTACTAGAAGAATGAACTTCAGGGGTTCAAACACGTTGATTAGGGTCTTATTCTAACCAGTTAGTAGTTTGGGCATGTTTCCTTGGATAATATATTTAATACTTGTACTGGATGATCTGTGTCTGTGTCTCTGTGTGTGCTTATGTGCTTCCCTGGGGTTGAGATGATATGGGACTAGAGCCAGGTCACAGAAGGCTGCTTCAGGATCAATGGCTGGTTTGAGATGGCAGGCCTGTGACGAGTGTGGGTGGTTCTGAATCCAGCCGGTGGCTGGCAGGCTGGTTTCAGGCTGACAGCTGAGAACAGAGGGAGATAGGGATGCCTCCAGTCAGTATCAAGAATGAGATCAGCGAGTCTGCCTTCAGGACACAGTCTTGTCTTTCCAAAGAAGCCCCTTGGTTTTAGGATCCTGGGCTTTCCCACATGCCTGGATCCAAAGCTTAGTGAAAAGATAGGATGTGTACTTTGTTCTTGTTTCAAGGATAGAATGCCATTTCTCCAAGGATATTATCATTTTTAAAAAATGTATTGACATTTTCTTTCTTTGATTATTTCCCCCGGGTCCTCTTTTTGTTTTGGCCTCCTTGTCTTACCATTCTCAGCTTTCTTCAGTGCTTTGTTGTTCACATAGGTAAGATGAGAGCCTAAAAAATTACTTGGAAGTCTCGTTAGGTGTGGACAGGGCTTTTCCATTGGTGGCCTTCAGTGAAGGGTGATTTGGCTCTGCCATTTTGTATCGTGCCAGTGTCCCTATCTTGAAGCACTCTGCCCTGTGACAGCCATGTTCCCACCCGAGTGCACAGCTTTCCAGACAGTTCTCCGTAAATTCATTCTCCTCCACTTGGCTCCTGTCTGCTTGGTGCTCTCTGTGGAGGAGGAACCTGCCGTCCTCTGCAGTTGAGTGAGAGCAGTTGCCCAGGGAAAGGGAAGCTGTGTTATTAAGCCATATTAAAATAGGTGAAAATCAAACTGACCATTCTCTGTAGCAAGTGTAAAAATAGGTATGCTGTGTAAAGGTGTTGGTGAACCAAAGTCTGTTTACGTGTCTTGGGAAGGAGCTCGTTCCTTTGCCCAGTCCTCCACCTTGAAGGCAGACAAGCACCAGTTGCTGAGCCTTGAGGCTGGAGGTCTGAGGTGTGAAGTGGGATGCTGCCTCGTTTCTCCTCTGCAGGCTTTGGTTGAGCTACCATGGCTTGTGTAATCATTTCCACTCACACATCTATTTTTCTAGCCTTTAACACTACATGACCTCTTTTCTTGTTCCCTGGCCCATCTACTTAAAAGCAATCCAATCAAACAAACTACTGACACTTTTTTTAGTAGGACTTAGAATAAATTTGGCTCCTAATCTATCTTGAATTTTTGTTGTTGTTGTTGTTGGTCATGGGGCTTGAACTCTGGGCCTAAACACTGTTCCTCAGCTCTTCAGCTCAAGGCTAGTGCTCTACCACTTGAGCCACTGCACCACTTCTGGTTTTCTGAGTGGTTTATTGGCTATAAGAGACTCACGGACTTTTCTGCCCAGGCTGGCTATAACCCATGATCCTCAGATCTCAGCCTCCTGAGTAGCTAGGATTACCAGGATTACAGGCATGAGCCACCAGCGCCCAGCTTGATCTTGAATTTTTAAGTGACATAAAATGTAACTTAGAATAACTCATCTTAAGGAAGGAAGGGGAGTCACTGACTGTACATCTTAAATTCCATTATGTTTTCAGGTGATGATTTCTGGTACCGGGCAATTGTCTTGGCAACATCAGACTCCGATGTGAAAGTGCTCTATGCAGACTATGGGAACATTGAAACCCTGCCTCTTTCCAGGGTGCAACCAATTCTCTCCAGCTACCTGGAGCTACCTTTCCAGATTATTAAATGTTCACTTGAAGGTAGGCAATTAAGTCCCTTTCCAGTTTGAGTGTCTTCAGGTTTGTTTTTTGTTTTTTTGGGTTTTTTTGGTCTTTTATGTTTCATTGCTCTAAATAGGAATCAAATAGGATATTTCAAGTAAAGATAGATCACTCAGATTTCTAAGTATCAAATAGGATTATCAAAAGAAATGTATCCTTTATCTCTCGCAGAAATGACATTCATTTAGTCTGCCTTTGCTTCACAGCTTATTTTCAGAGCGTTGTGTTTCAGGGGTTCTTCCCTCTGTCACAAGCTCTGCTAGGAAGTGAGCTGAAGTGGACTGAGCTGTCCCCCAATGTCTTGTTCACTGTAAGGTATATTAAATAGGTAGGTTTCATTAGGTAGCCGGTGAAGAAAACACCACACGCTAGTCAGGCAGGAAAAGAAGTTTATTTACCGAACTGCTGCCCCCGCCAAGCATGGTGGAGAAGCATGGCTGAAAACGAAAGGGGGTGGGGGACCCACCTCTGGGTCAGGACTTATCTATGCCAGGGACAGGAAGAGGTGTGGCTATACTGGATCTGGATGTGACCTCAGGGTCTGGGACCCTCCTAAGGTCAGATGGGAGGCATGTGACCAGAGGTGGCCCAGGATGTGACCTAGCAGGAAGGGATGTGACCTAGCAGGGGGGGAAGTGACTGCTTCCAGGTCTGCCACTTACCTAGATAACAGATACTGGGCAGAAACTTAGCCAAGAGGGAGGGAGGTGTCCCTGTTCAGATCTTAGATTCACCATTCTCTGTAAGGACTTTCAGACATATTCTCTTGACACTTGTCAGCTGCCTTACTGAGGGTACTGAATCTAGATTTCTTCAACTCTCCATTGGAATTTGAATAGAGTCACTAAAATTTACCAAGCAGGCTTGTACTATTCCTCCTCAGCTCTCTACCAGAGAGCCCTACATATACCACCCTGACTGCTCATTGCCTGCGTGGCTTCCAACTCGAGTCAGGAAATTCGCTTTCCCGCTATTTGCTTCTCCCATTAGTACATTGAGGGTTGACACGTGTGATACCTTTATAGGTCAGTAACCGTTTATTGAGCAAATAGGAATTTTCCATATCAGCAGTAGTAGTACATCAGAGTAACCCAGCTATAGAAAGTAAACCTTTGGCTTATTGACCTTTGATTAATTTACCAAAATAGGATGTTTTTAAAAAGAGACTTGAAAACTAACCATAATCTTTCTTTTATTTCCCCTCTCACCCCAGGACTGACAGAATTGAATGGAAGCTGTTCTCAATTAATAATAGAGCTACTAAAAAATTTCATGTTGAATCAGACTGTAATGCTTTCTGTGAAAGGGATCGTGAAGAACATTCACACAGTGTCTGTGGAGAAGTGTTCTGAGAATGGTACTATCAATATAGCTGAGAAGCTGGTGATGCATGATCTAGCACAAAACATGGCATTGAAGCCAAATGCTTTCAATAAAGGTGAAGGTGATTTATTTTTAAACATGTAATTACTAGCAGATGTGTAGATGTCAAAGCTAGCTGAGACTGTCACCTTTAGTTGACCTGATCTTTCTTTGCCCCCTGTGCTACAGTCCCTTCCTCTTCCTCCACATCCCATGACAGGGCTCAGATTTCTGCTGCTACCTTGTTTGCAGTGGGGGGGGGGGTAGTCCCAGGGTCAGGCTCTACAGACAGCATTGGAGAAATCAGCACTGAGAGGCTCAGATTGAAGATTCTTTCTGCACTTTTTGTCCAGCTCACATTTGATCCTAACCAGAATGACAAGAACTCATTCCTTTTTTTTTTTTTTTTGGTCCGGTCATGGGGCCTGAACTCTGGGCTTGAGCACTGTCCCTAAGCTCTTCAGCTCAAAGCTAGTGCTCTACCACTTGAGCCACAGCGCCACTTCCGGCTTTTTTCTTTTTGCTTATGTGGTGCTGAGGAATCGAACCCAGGGCCTCAGGCATGCAAGGCAAGCCACCAGTGAGCCACCTTCCCAGCCCCGAACTCATTTCTTGAGTTGGAATTTCCTAGTGTTTCATAAGGCGTGCATTTGGCAGCTCCTCCTCATCCAGAAAAGATCCCATATGTAACAGTCAGAGGGCCTAGCCCATGCAGTGTGTATGTTCTTTATAAACAATAACAACAAGGTTAGTAGACAACATAGAACCCCGGTCTGGTTTTTAAAATAGAAAGCCAGGCATGTGGACAGATACGTATTTGATCTGGTTCAAGTTGTTTGTCATTTACCTTGTGCGCTACCTAACTTTTTTTTTCCATTTACTTTAGAAAAGACACATGGGATGAATTGTCGCTGCATGGAGTTACAGAAGCAGGTGGGCAAAAATCCCTCTTAAATGGAGTTACACTTCTCAGATTTTTTCAGAAATTAAATTCTACTATTTTCTTTTTTACTATAGGTTGAAAAACATGAGCAGATTCTTCTCTTCCTCTTAAACAATCCAACCAACCCAAATAAATTTATTGAAATGAAAAATAGGCTAAAAAGTTAAGTAAGTGTGATTTTTGTTGTTACTTTGGTAGTTGCCCCTAGAATGTCCCCAGCTGGACTGTCAGGATGGAGCAGTTGGTGTGACACGCCCCCCTTCCTTCCCACGGTGAGGTGGGGCTTCATGTCATGACTTCAGACTAATATTCTCCCTTCAGCTTGGTCTGACAGTTTTCCTCTGATGCTCTTAGTGGACCCGAGCCCAGGGGTGTTTGAATTATCCTGGCCTTTCCTCACTGTGATTTGATTTTGTGAATTACTGTGTTTGCAGAAGGACTTATAAAAATGATTGGGAGATGAAGCTTAGCTTCAAACTCATTATGTCCTGAAATCATCTGACTATTGTGATCTGAAATCATCTCACATTTTGTTACAAATTTACATTTGTCATAAATGTGATCTGAAATCATCTCACGTCTTGTTACAAATTTTTTAAAGTTCTCATGAAGAGGTCATTGAGTGGAAAGTGAGTTGGACCCACAGCAGGTTTCATTTCACAATGAAGCATCAGCCCTTTGAGCTGTGATGACTCCACTATTTACAGAAAATATTAATGATTCTAAACCAAGAGTTTCCCCAATTTTTGTCTTTTTATTCCTCCATTTTAATCTCTAGCCATAGTATGGCCTTCAGAAACGATGATCCAGCCAGGCGTGGCGTCATGCTTATCTTTTAGCTGTGTAAGAAGCCTAAATTGGATGATTGTAGTCTAGGCTACAATCAAAAACTTAAGGAAAACGAAAGGACTGGGGTGTGGCTCAAATGGTGGAGCATCTGCCTATCAAGCTCTGTACCCCCACCACCAAAAAATAAAAATCACCCCATTATCAATAGTCAATTATAACTTGTAAAATAGTGCTCCTTGTATCTTTGAACTGCTGTTCAGCCAATAACAAAGGATCTTTGATTTATTCTGTGTGTGTGCTCTTGTTGGTATAAATTCAGTATGTGTTAGGTCATATGAAGATAGATCCAAGGGCGGATTCATCTCAAATAGGAGCCAACAATGTTTAAAATGTATTTTCCATGTGATAATGTTAACTTTCTCTTTGAAGAAAGTGCAGTTAATTGAGTGCTACGCTAAATGTCCTAAGGATCAACAGTTTTTACTTTCATGATTTATACCCTTTATAAGTCTGGAGCCATTTTTAATGCAATTACAACCTTCAGCCCTTCCTAATACATTGTTTTAGTGCTTTCTGTTTTGGGTGCTTGAGTTTACCCTTAACTTTAAGCGTGAGGAATGTGCAGACACATGAGCTTCCAGAATGTAATTCCACCTAGCACCCATCATGGTGTCTTACTCAAGCTGATTTAACTGGTATGCACTTTTATCTGCCTGAGTAGTAGGCTTTCCCCGTCAGGATATTGAGAGTGCTTGCACACACAATTAAAGATGAAACCTGTATTTACTTTGTTTTGGTTATATTGGAGACAGTGCTTATTAGCTTAAAAAACAGCAGTACACGCATAAACTAGCTTTCCCCTTCTGTGCAAATAAATCACATATTTTGTTCCCATTTGGATACAGTATTATACTTTATATCTGTGTAGTGCCTTATTTACATCAAGTGCTTTATTTACCCTTTTCATCTTCACAATACCCTTACAGAGGAAGTAGACCGCACTGTTTACTTGTAGGAGCTGAGGCCCACACCAGCTTCTAGCACACATGGGGATGTTAGCCTGAGTCTTACTGCTCGGAGCCGCGTTCTCTGGGCTCCTCAGGCTGCCCTGTGTGCTGGGCTGCAGTGTCTCTCAGCCTGTTCTACAGGCTGTAAAATTAGGGGATAATATTAGAAAAACAATGCACACAGGGGTCATTTAAGCATACTTTCGTTATTGTGGTGAAAATCCAGTTCAAACATTTCTCTTACCTTTAAATTATTCCTAGAGACGAAGGAAAGTGTGTTTTAAAATGTTATTTCATCATCTCTGAAGGAATTCATTTTATTAACAATTGTAAATTGCCAAAATAGGAGTTCTATGATGATAAGAGCATATATTGTCTATAATAGATTACTCAAAAATCATAAAGGCTTAACACAAATCAATACCACTTTTTTTTTTATATTTGAAGAACACCAGTAGCCATATTTTGTATTTGTGAAGGGGAAGATAAGCAGCTATAATTCATAGAATTATTAATGAAAATTAATAAACATCATGGTGGTATTGAACAAGTCAGATCTATATGTCTAATATCAGTTAAAAGTGAATATTTGGGAGTGTTTACATAAAACAAATTACAGTGATTAACACAGTTTTTATATGACACATAAAGGTGGTTGGTTTTTCTATTTCAGATAACAGCATCCTTTGGAAGCAAATGCTTAGGAGGAAAGAAACAGCAGTGACTTAAGAGAGAAGCATTGCATTTTGTGTTTTTGTATATTGGAATCTTTTCTCTTCTCTGGTTTTTTGTTAATGACCTTTTGTGCCTCCATTTGTTTCCTTACTTGGTTCTATTAGGTTGTTTGGTTGGTTGGTTTGCGTTTTTTTTCTTCTTCCAAGTTCTTCCTACCAAATAAATCTTGTATAGAAGATTCATTGTGCCACTCAGGAGGCCAAGGCAGGAGGATTATAAATTTCAGGCCAGCCTGAGCCCTACATCATAAGACCCTCTCTAAAAGAAATAAAAAATAAGAAAAACAAACTTTAAAACAACTGAAAAGATTCACAAAAAAAAAATTCATGGGATTACTAGGAAGGCATAGAGAGGGGCTCCCTGCTGAACATATGACTCTCTTTCCTTTGGCCCATGCTGGGGGTTGAACTCAGGGCCTCATGCATGCTAGGCAAGCACTCTTACCTCTGAACTATAGCCCTAAGCCTGTAACCTTGGATTACTTAAAAATACTGAAGAAATGTAGCTTCATGCTAATATCAAATAAGTCTAGTTTGTGAATTCCAAAGTTTTATTATTTCCTGTATGTTTGAAGTATTTCCAGGTGTTCCCTGTTCCCATGGTCATCTGCCTCTTCCTGTCCTCTCTGAGGTCATCAGCATCTTCTCTCCATCCTTGATGCTTTTGGTCACAGAGTCTGTCCTGGGGTTCTGGACTGGTCCTTTGGGGTGGGGGAGGTGACACGGAGAGGGGAAGGGGGAACTTTCTGCTCCTGCCCAACCACATGTCCTTCCAAAGCTCTAGCCACTCAGACTTTGGTTGTAAAAAAAAAAAAAAAGAAATTCACTGTTTTATGAAACACAAATGTAGTTACCAATTTAAGTTTAAAAGCTGTGTTAGAGTAAATGTTTTCTTGATGCACATAATCTTAGATATTTTTTCTAAGACTTTTTTTTCTAAGAATTATGGGCCAGCTGACTTTCCTGCCAGCCCTAAATAGTTTCTGTTTGAGAATTTTCATGTTGTTTAATTACCAGACTCTGAAAACCTAAGATGTCTCTCACACATAGATAGTTAAATCAATAATCCTGGTAATTGGGATCAGGTGTTCTGTTATAGTGGAATTTTTCCTCACGTAAAGATGTTGCTCAGATATCGATGTGCTTGTATTTAAAGTTCATCTTATTTGCTCAAATAAAAACCTTTGTCAACCAGCTCCCCCGAGTATGCTTCCTGCTGGACTTGCACTGATTTCTGTGCAAAGGAATCACAATCACACTGCAGAAGTAAATGTCTTCGTTTATCCCATCTGCTCTCCAGCCAAAAAACATGCAAATGACAACTGGCCTTTTGATGAAAGAGAACCAGGGAAGCTGTTGAAAGATTACAAAAGATCATGTATAAAACTTCATTTCTTCCAGCTGCAGCATTTTAGCCTATAGTGCTGGAAATTCATCTAGAAACAATTTTAATTAGATGGAGCAACATGTTTGGTGATTGAGTTGGTTCCCCAGAAGAGATAATAGAGCTGTAACACTAGCCTCACAGATCCCACATACTAAACTACCATGTCTTCTTTCTGAATACACCTAAGATGTTTCCTAGTTCAGTATGTCTGCAGTATGTTTCACTGAACAAATACTGAGCTCCAACTGTGTGCTCGACAGTCGGTGCTGAATCTGGTTTAGTGTGGTCCTGCTATTCACAATTGGGAGAAGTGTAGAACCTCTGACCTAATTTGGCCATCGATGAATACACCAAATCTGAGGCTGTGTCCAAACAGTTTATTGTTAGGCAGAAATACTGAGGTGAACCATCTGTGCAGGAGTGTGAATGAGGGTGATTGGGATGCCATAGCTGAACTCTGCTGCTGTACAAGAAACACTTGAGAATCCAACACATGCAGATTTTCCTGCCACAAGCATATTCTGCCCAATTCCCATGGAGAATTTGATTTATGGTGAGAGTGCCATCCAAAAGCAATTGGCCCTTACTAGAAGCCATTGTTTCTAATGGGTTCATCACCAACACAGCTGCCTGAAGTGGGCAGGTGGAGCTCACGACGACTCTGCCCTTTCCCACATCATGAGGACCCCAGAGGCTGACCACAAAGTATAAATACACTAGGTTACTTTGCCCTGAGCATTGTTCAGGTATTGCAATCATTTCCCCAGGGAAGCCCTTTCAGACAACCTCCTGAAAACTGGTCGTGGTTTTATAGAATTTTAACTACCTGGCCTCATCAGTTTTCCTGTCCTGGCTTTTTAGCCCTGGAGTGATAACCATGAGACAGGAAAGTGTCCAGCCCCTGTGATATGAGTCTTGCAGGAAGGAGGGAGGGACTTGTGGTGCTCATGGAAGTCAGGAGCAGACCCTACTCCAAGGTGCATCGATTACCACTATAACCTGTTCCATATATATATGAAACAGCAAAGTTGATGATTGGGAAATTTGAGACCAAATGGCTGGGAAGTATTGGCAAGATGCCGTCTCAGAGCATTTGGCTATTTCCAATGTTAGTTGAGTGACTGTCACCCAAGCTTTTGCCTTCATGAAATCCTATATTTACTTGATTCAGCCAGACAGCAACATGTTTCTCAAATGGAAATCAGGTGTCACCTTGCACATTTTTTTCACTGTCTTAAAAGACATTGAAG